GTTTTAAGCCTCTACCATATTCACTAATAGACTTCACCATATTAATAAATAGTGGACTCTTAACTAAATTAAATGGCAATGCATTGCCATATATGCATCTACAAATATCTCGAACCACCAAATCTCTATCCTTCACCATTGAATTTATAGTTTGTTGTTTCATAGCAGATGAGCCACTTCCACTTTTTCCTTTTATCATAAAACTATCCATGCTCCCTTTTTTTTGTGAATCTTTATCATCGAAGCACTCTAGTTCATCATCATCTCTTGCATCCTCTAATATTTTTTTAAATAGATCCCTTATCTCTTCCGGCACTTGTTGGCATGGAGCAACTTCTTTGTGTGTTCCAGCTAGATGGTGCTTCATTCTAAATGCTCCTCCCCACATTGTTTTGGGACAATAGTTACTTTTAATATTCAACCTATTCGCAAGGGATTTACAATGATCCCAAGTTATATCCTTCTGTTTTTGGATTTCTTCTTTGGAGCCATTTTTATTATTTCTATTACTGTAAAAGAGAGAGAGAGAAAATCAAAGGCAAAAAATATTACCCAAAAGAAGTTTGTCACTTGCGAACTCATTAAATATATCAAAATGATTGCAAGACCAAGTTTTTTTAATGGTGAAACCACGTAACCCAAAGATGCAGCACGTACTTTTAATCAGCTCATCATCTTGTAGCCACATACCCATCAACTTTCAAGTTTCAACGGACACCACATATGCCTTACATAATATTTTAATATATTTAAGTTTGTAAAGTTGAATTACCAAACTCCAATTATAAAATACTACCCAAAAGCAGTTTGCAAGCCTTCTTCACAGCTCGTCTCATTCTCTCTGACTCTGAAGTCTGAATGTCGTTCTTCGCTTCACTTCTTCACAGCTTGAAAGCAGTTTTTCGTTTTTCTTTTTTTCCTTTCTGTTCTTTGATTCTCTTCTCTCTTTCTTGTTTTCTTTAATTTGTTTGTTTAATGGGATTTTGAATCCCTAATATTTCTGTTTTCTGAAGCAACCGACCTTTGAGAATCCAAATTTCGTGATCTTTCAAATTCTGACATTTGATATATTTTTTTTAAATTCAAATCCTGACTTTTGATTTTTTTTTTTTAAACATTTGAATCGCACAATATTTACGATTCACTGATTCACCACTGAATCGTTCGATTCCACGATTCAGCAGGACGATTTTGTGCAAAAACGATTCAATGATGCGGTTCGAATCGTTTTTTCCTCGTATCGGATCGAACCGTGCGATACGTATCGCGTATCGTGCGATACTAACACCATTGGTTTATATTATTCTCTAATACATCTCCTCATGCAATAGCCTTTTGGTCTTGAACGTGAATATTGCGTTGGCCGAAATTTTTTTTAGTTTACCTTATACTTATTTAATTCCACAAGTAGGAGACAGTGAAGATTGAACTCATAACTGATCAAGAAAGCTTTGATACCTTATAAAAAATTAATTCAACTCAAAACTTTGGGGAGTTCATATTTCTGTTTAGATTTAATTCATTACTTTTAGTATTTCACTGCAATTGTAAAAGCTAGCTGGAATGTTATAATCATTAGTGTCTTAGCAATATAAGTTATTCTACCTACACTTTTTATTGTCTACTACTCTCCAACACCGTTATATCATAATTTAAAGAAGAGAGAGAATAATAAATATTATTTAAGATTCTTATCTAATGGTTACAATGAAATATATTATTCTCTGTATGGTCGATATCCATGACAACTATCAAATACGGTCCAAGATTGTTTGATATGGAAATAAGAACAATTGGAGACGAGGCTGATATAAATTCTCCGCAGGTGAGATAAATTCGGTGAAAATGATGGGTGGTTATTAGCAGAGAAAGCGGTTCAATTTGATAGCTTGCTTCCAAGCGATGCATCATATCATATTTATATGAGACGCAAAAGTGCATTCTAAGGAGTTAATGGTGTGGGACACCTAAGACAGAGGAGGAACCTTTCATGACATACGACGTTGATGTTTTTATAGATTTTGCACGTAGCTGTGTTATCTAGAACTTGTTAATCAAAAGACAGTAAGAAAAATCAATAACCTAGTACTGCTTCGAAAATACAGGATTTAGGGCCTCAGGCAAATGATCTATGAGCCTACTTTCTCTACTGATAGCTCTTATGTTTGTTAATGCATTAGGGAAATTGAACTACGCATCTTTTGATTTTTTTTTTTTTTTTTTTGATGTGTTGTAAAATTTATTTTTCAACCATCAATTAATTAGAAATAATGGAATGCGTATAGTTGCCGACATGAGAAGAAATCGAATCAGATAACAAAAAATCAATTTTTTCATATGATTAACAATTATTAGAAATGATGATGCAGATTTGTGTATTGATAAAAATAACCTCATAATTTAATATTATATCATTATTTTAACTTTACTAACAAATCCAAACATTATTTTTACCAAAATGGCTTTTTAAATAAAAATTTCCAAACATAAATTACTATTCATAACTTCTCAACAAAATCTAGTTTTGAAAATCATGTTCAACCAAAATTAAATTTACAAAATTTAATTCAAATACACACGTAGTTTTTTTTTTTTTAGATAGAGTAAAACTCGTAGAGATCATTGAACCGCAAAATTCTAAAGTGTCTACTAAAAGCTGTGCATATACAATATGTTACCCAAGCTTATACTATCAATGGCTAATATTCCGGATAGGTTGTTATCAATTCAGGTACAGGGCACAGTACAGCCTTTGGTTTCAGTAATTAATACAAAAGGAGAGTTAGAGAATCTAAGACAAAACTTGGCAAATGCTCGTTAGAACCTTGTATGCAGTAATAGGCAATAACCGAAACTCCACCTGATTACCCCTTTAGTTCTTGGAGCGGTCCATAAGGATCCAAAATGCATTCAATGTATAGAGATTTAGCTACCAATTACCATCACTTAATAGCCCAAAGACCCAACGAGATAGCATCCGAAAGCTCACGACTCTATACAGTTACTGTGTCACAACCACAAATATTTTGCCATATGACAGTCTATCTAGCTATAAATGCTTTATATTTGTTGCCTGACATATGTAGACATGCTCCACTGTGTCTGCATGCATTTTGTGGTCGTAGTCATATTTGTATTTTTTTTTTTTTTTTTTTTATATATTTTTTCTCCTCCGAAGCTACTTTAAGTATGTTTTTAGAAAATAATTCATAATGAAAGAATTTTTTTTATAATAAATAAAAAAGCCAAAAACTTATAAGAGGATTTTTTTTTTAAGTTATATCAATTTTCTTTGAAATGAATAATTTTTAAGTTAAAAATCTTATATAATTATTAAACAGATTTTAGTTTTTTTTTTTTTTTTTTTGAACTTTAACTAAAAGCAGCTTTTAGTTAAAAAAGAAGAAGAAGTATCAAATAGACTGTTAATGTATCTTTGATCCTACATTGATACTATGACTGTTTTATCATTTGAGGCTGCATGGATGGTAATTTTACAAGTTTGTTACATCATGTCCCACACGGAATTATTTTTATATTTTTTTTTATGAGATAAGACATTATTGTTATTTTTTTTCATTTCTATTTTACCTATTTCTTTCTAATATTGTTAGATCACAATCTCAATTTTTATCTTTTCTTTTTCTATTGAGATTCTGATATAATGATATTATAACTTAGCACGCATAATAACAATGGAAAAAATGTGATGGGGGAGCGAATGATGATAGGAAAGTAAATAATGATATCCGTGTGTGTGAATAATGGTATGACGATGAATTGAAAAAAAAAAATACTATTTTAAAAGTTACCTAATGGAATCCGCCAAACTAAAAAGAGAAAAAGAATTTAAATTTATTAAAAAAATAAAAAATAAATAAAAACATTTCCGTAGAAACAAGACCCCGAAACTAAACACCCTCCATTGAAAAATATTTTGAAGTGCATACTAAACACGTAAAAATAACATTTAGGCACTCTGTTCAGAACACCCTTGATATGGTATAAAACTCTAGCGATATGGTGGATTATAAAGGCTTGATCTCTCGTTCTTTTTTGTTCATATGCAAACCCCATAAACGCGTCTTTTGTAAAGGCTTTTTCTGGATGTTTATTATAATTATGGGTTTGTTTTTTCTGATGTTACTTTAGATAACTTTATCTAATGTTCATCAAAACGACGTCGTTTTGGGACGGAAATCATAGTATTTTTGTAATTTTAATTTATTTCAGGGTTATAATAGTCTTTATCACTCTAATTTTTTAATTTTTCAACCCAAAACGACGTCGTTTCGATGAACATTAGATAAAGTTATCTAAAGTAACATCGAAAACTTTTTTCCCTATAATTATACTGGGGAAAAAACACCCAAACAGATACAAAAAAGATTACTTTTTTTTTACAAAGTAATAAATAGAAGAAACAAAAGCAAAATAAAAAATAAAAATGTCTTAGTTCTCTATTTTTTTTTAAAAAAAAGCGATGAAACATGATTAATTATTAATTAACTTAAAACCAAATTATACAAGGTTTAATTAATTAATTTAATTTCGTGTAAAATTATTTCGTACCGAACTTTTGTTAGCCAAACGTTTTCTTTAGAACATTTTGATTAATTTTTTTTAAATAAAATAAAGTAATTCAAACATATATTAACCTATCAAAATAACTGATTAATTATTATATATAAAAGGAAAGATCTGCGAAGGCAATAAATGAAACAAAGAATTGCTAAATCTAAATTAAAGAATATTAACCCGATGAGCAAAAAGAGTTAATGGTAGAGAGAATGACAGTAAAAATTCTATTGAAGCTAGACGATGGAGTGGCTACTACCTCAAAGGATTAATAGAATCCATAGTGCTTTTTACCAAGTCCCTTTGTGCTTCTTCATTCTTCAAAGATGAACAGCAAGCTCGCTCTTCTGAATCTATACAAATGTAAGAACTAATGAATAAGTTGATTACTATACAAATCTAAACAACATCGCTTTTCCCTCACACTTTTGTCATGTTAAAGAAAGAGTTCCCATCTTAGAAGATGCGTAACCCACAATTGGAATCCTTCAAAGTTCAAACTCATCATATAAAGGCAAGGCAAAGCAAAGCACCCCTATCAGATTGCGGTCTTTTGAGACGCAATGATTCCCATGCGTATACCGAGGAATCCAATCAACGATTTAAAAAAAACAAAAAACAAATAAACAACACCACACTCAATTACTTTGATTCTCAACGCGATGTGAATAAACTAATGGTTTTTCAATCATTCTCTGTTCCAACTTCTTATCCATAATGACCAACTCAGACAATGCCATCTTCCCCGAACGAATTGGGTCATAATTATTGTTATGATTCTGATGACTAATCTTTGACTTTCCAATTACATTCTCACTGCCGTAACGTAAACGGCGTGGGCTTTGCAAAAATCCCATAGACCTCGATCTGTTGAACCTCGTCGTCACTACCATTTTACCCTTCTTACTCCCAAACCCATATTCAATTTTGCTCGGGTGCCCACCCATATTCGGATCCGAACCTGACTTCATTTTAATCTCGCTAAAGAAACCAGAACCAATGGACCTGGACCTCACCGCTCGATTCGCGGGTTCACTCTCATACTCTACACCCGACACACTGGATACTTTCCCGTTCCTTCTGCTACCACCTTTCACAACTTCTTCACTCCTGTCATAGTCATTCACCAACGGTCCCCCACGCGCCTTCACCCGTTTCTTCAGGCTACTCCATATCAGCGGCGCGTGAACCCTCTTCCTCACTTCTTTAAGGCACTCCGCTACCTCCGCCATCGACGGCCGTTTCTCCACCGTCGATCTCACGCACCTCGCTGCCAGCACCGTTAACTGCCGGATCGCCGCCTTATCCGACGGCGGTCCGATCCGCGGATCACAGATTCCGGCGAACTCGCCGCGCCTAATCAACGGAACCGCCCAGTCCAAAACCGACGGCGGACTATGGTTCACGTCGATGGCATTTCTTCCGCTGGTTATCTCGAGTAGCAAGATCCCGAAGCTGAAGACGTCTCTTTTGGTGCTGAGATCCGCCGGCGCAAGATAGCACGGGTCGAGGTAACCTAACGTCCCCGCCGGCGGCGTGCACGTGAAGCGAACGTCCTCCACGTTTCCCCTGAGTGCGAGGCCGAAATCTCCGAGCCTGGCGTTCCATCGGCCGTCGATGAGCACGTTGGAAGACTTGATGTCGCGGTGGATGACCGGCGGGTCAGCGGAGTGCAGTTCGTGAACCGCCTTGGCAACCTGGAGAGCGAACCGGACGCGGCGGGTCCAACCGGGCGGTCGAACCGCTTTTCTGTGGAGTAATTCGTAAAGCGAACCGTTGGGCATATACTCGACGACGATGAGGTTGTCGTTTTGGTGGGTGCAGAAGCCGATGAGGTTGACGAGGCGTCGAGGGCTTGCGACACGTGAGAGAATCTCGATCTCGTTGTCTGCGGGGTTGATGTTGTGGTGGGTAATGGCGGAGGGTTTATTCCTTTTGACGGCGGCGATGAGGTTTCCTCCGTCGAGGGTGGCCCTGTAGACACTGCCATGACTTCCTTTTCCTAAGAAGGTGTCGGCGGAGAAGCCGTTTGTGGCGGCGAAGAGTTCGGAGTAGGAGAACTCCCTGACCCTGATGTTATGGGTTTTAGATTTAGAGTTGGTGTTGGTTTTGGTCTTGTTCTTGAGGTGCTTGTAGTGGGGATCACAGGTGGCGATTGCGGACTCGCCATTGCAAGAGAAATAGCCCATTAGAAGAATTATTCAGTTTAGCAGAGAAAATGGAAGGGAATAATAGAGAAGGTGGTGAAGTAGTAGTGGTGGGAGAAAAAATAAAAAGAGAGCGCCAAAAGCCATAACTCTGAACAGAAAGATAATGGGTCTGTCTTTTAATTTGAAGTGTGCAAAGTAAATGGTTCACAGCTTTGGAGGAGAGGACCACGCTCAAGTGTGAATATGAAAACATTGCTTGATTTTTTCAATTTTTTTTTTATTTTTTTACAAAAATTCGTTTTCGATTCACTTTCATCATCCAATTTGTGATGCCATCTTCTCCAAATGAGTTTAATTTAAGCGGTTAATGTTTTTCGTGTATGAAATAAATTTTATTTTCTAAACATATATAAAAGTGTAAAGTCTAGATTACCAAAAAAAAGAGTGTGAAGTCTATGTGCCAAGTAAAAAGAGAAAAAAAAAATGAATTACATGTGTTTTTACTAGGAAATAAATTTATTTTTTATAATTAAAAAATAATAAACTCTTAATTTAATGTAATAACTAGATGTTTAATTATAAAAATAAAATACTAACAATAGATTGTTACTCGAGAATTTCTTCAGTGCTGTCAATGCACTGAGTTTTTGATATTTTTCACTCATAATATAATAGTATTATTTTTTTATCAAATTACTCTCTCATTTATATTAAAAAAATTTATTTATTAATGATTTGTTAAATAAATATATCATGTTATGAATGAAAGATACATAAAAAAACTCATTATTTCGTATCACTAAATAAATTTTGCCTAATAAATAAAAGTTATGGAAAGGATAGTTTCATGTTAATTCCTATAACCTTGAATATTTTGTATTTCTCTTTTTATTAATATTAAATAGATGAGGCCTTACAATTTCTTTTGAAATTTTATTACAAATTTAAAAGAATTATATGAAATGTTAACATAAAAAATTCATTTATTAAAGTTATATATCTATAACATTTTTTTTGGTAACAGAAAGATATAGATTCATGTTAATTCATTTATTTATTCAATATATAATTTAGAAAATAATACAATATTTTTTAAAGGGAATCCGAAAATTTAAGGTTTGACAATTTGAGTTTAATTTTCAAAAAATAAACTTACTTTATATAGAAAAGTAACATAAATTGTACAGATTGATACGGAGATAACATTTTTCTAGAATCAAACCTTGGAGAGTTGGAAGCCTTTATTTTAAAAAAATAAAAATAAAATATGAAATGTGCTTTTTAATATTTTTAATGTTACTGCGTGAAAACTCTGGTGCTTGCTGTCCTATTTATCTTTTCTCTCTGGTAAATAAATGAAAAACAATTGAATTCGATCGAATGTTTCGGTCTCCACTGCATACATGAACCAGTCCTTTTTGCTTTCCATGCATTCATTGCTATTCCATTTACTCACTCCCCAAACATGGGGCAAGCCTTGCTTTTTTACTTTGCTTTATCAATGAAATCATACAAATATAAAACTTGAAATAAAGCTTGAATTTGATGATAACAAGAATCCAATTGATATAAGATAATCTGAATACAAATCACAAATTCATTTTAATACTTTATGTCTCCTCTAACTATGTTTGATACCTACCCCTCTTCGACTATTTGAAAACTAAATAATATGAAATCACAAGAATATGATTTTAGTATTCCAAATGATTGACTGTGTAGGGACATCTCAATTAATCAAGCTGTTTACTTCTTGCATGGGTAAAGTCTTGCCGGATGTATGCAACAACTTAATAAGACAAATTCAGCCATTTATCAATTATGGCTCAATAGTTGGACCCATTATTATCTTTTTTAACTTTAGAACCACCAGGAAATAAATTAAGTTGTCTAGGCGGGATTTTCATAATATCTTTTTCTTCACAGATCTCACCCGTTGTTTTTATTTGAAGCTCACTGATTATTTGAAACAAACTTTTTGTAGGAAATCTTAGATTTATGCGGAAGCGGTTTAGGACCTAGTACATTGGTATGCTTACCGAATCATCCTTGTTTCACAATTACCTCTCGGTGCGCAGGTCTCGTGTAGAATCTTCCCTTGTAGGATTCCTCCTCACGAACAGCTCACCTCAGCGCCGCAGCACGAACAACCTCCTTGAAGCTGGACTGTGGAAGATCTTCCAAACTATCTCTCGAGGAGGATGAGATGGTTGTGTGGGCAACCGTTCAGATGATGGACGTCTGCCTCTTGGGGTTTGTTTGTTTCTGATGATCTGTTCACCTTGGAGGCACAAGAGGAGAAAACTCTGAATATATACGCTTAGGTCTTAGACATAACTCAACCCTAAGCCTCATGGGCTCAAGTTTCACTGAAGCCCAATAGGACTTTAGTGACCAAAAGAGCATATATCCAACAATCTCCCACTTGCTCTTTAAGATACAAACTTGAGTTCGTAAACCCAAGACCATGTAGCCCATAAGCTATCATCATCTGATAATATACCCCATCCCTTGTCTCGAGCTAGCCTGGGGACCTACCATTTGTCATTGATCAAGGCTCCTGATAATCTTTACAAGATTATCTAATTCGGTGCTACTCCACTAAAAGCCCGAACGTGAACTCCAAGATTAATGACCTTTATAACATTAATATGCATCGCCCCTTTGTAGAATGTCTATAATTGATTGACAAGTTTTCTGTAACTTAATCAATTATTTATTCCCTTGACTATGATAGTTTCTCTAATGGATTACATGCACTGGCCAGTGTCTTTAATATCCAAGTACCAAAACATATCAAGGGGACATATCCTACAAATTCCATGTTGTTTATCTCATAAATAACGATAATCAAATAATCTCACTCCCAAAATACCGAGTTATTGGCCGTCAATAGATCGAACCTCACCCGTTGGTAAATCAAAGAATAAAAACTATTTGATTACCTATTTATAATAAACTCAGGATTAAGAGCAATCACATAACTATAGTTAACTGGAGATTTGATACCTTATGACAGAAAAACAACCTTAATCAAATCTCTCCTTCATCCTTTCAATGTAAATGTTAATTCACACCAATATTTTACAATGATTCGGACAAAATCATTTCATAAAATATTGCAGCCTGAATAAAGTGCCCAACTTTATTTAACGGCTGTGACTCCATTCATCAATTGTGAGAACCTATGATCATGTCCTCCATGAACGTATCCATATGATCATATACTCCACAATTTGATCCGGACCTTTATGTTTGTAAATAGTGCGCAAAATAAATAAATAAAACCTTATTTATGAAATTCAGAAAATTATTTTATTGTTTCATCGTCTTACTCCAAGAGCACAATGAAACCAATAACTCTCACTTGCTTAATGCAAGTCTGGGATCCTCCTAAGACCCAAAGAAGTAACATGCCTCTCGAACACAAGTTCAGGCAAACTCTTAGTAACTGGGTCTGCAAGATTCACCTCTAATGCTATTTGAGTTTAGTGAAAAACTCATAGCTGAGGTTGATTTTCTTGAGTCAATATCCACTTGAAATAACTGAATTTTTGAAAACTCAGCTTTTCAAGACTCCCACTAGAATATACCAGCATATAATCTCTCGTTCTCCAAAGATACTTGAGTACATGCTTAACAATAATCTAGTATTCCTCTAGGTTCAAAATGGTACTATCTCACTACTCCCACTACGTGACAAATGTCTGGTTTAACGCCCAACATGATATGCATGAATCTACTTTTGCCAAAGCATAAGATATCATGCTCATGCATTCTTCCTTCTCAGGAGTCTTTGGTTACTCCTTAGGAAGATGAATTCCACATCTAAGAATTTATAATTCTTCTCTTAGAATTCTCGTGTTGAATTTTGGCAAGAGTTTTGTCAATGTAAGTAGCCTGAGGTGATGCCAACAACTTATTCTTCTGGCCTCATAAGAGTTTTATCCCAAGAATATAATTGGCTTCCCCAGTACTTCCATACCAAAAACTAACTTAGCCAACTCTTTATGCTTGATATTACCTCCACATTGTTTCCAATAAGGAGCATATCATCTACATAAAGTACCAGAAAAAAATATTGTCTTCCGTTGTATCCTTTACATACAAATACACATCATTCATCAAGGTTCTCTCAAAATCAAAATTTTGATAACCTGATCAAAACTGATGTTTCAAGACCTGGATGCTTGCTTAAGTCTATGAAATAGACTTTCACAACTTGCATATCGTGTGTTCCTACTCATTTGCTATAAACCCTTTTGGTTGTTGTATGTAGATATCCTGACATCCAACTCCCAAAATGAAATCTCATAATTGAGACTTATAGCAACTAAGAGAATCTGGATAGACTCAAGCATGGCGTCTGGCAAAAAATGCCTCCAAGCTAGCTTTGAAGGTTTTCACCTTTCTGTCCATCCTCTCTTTGCCTTTTATGTTTACATGCACCTTGTGGGTTTTACCCCTCTTGGTGTCTTTACTAGGACCGAACGGAGTTGAAATACAAGTATTTCATCTCATTGTTCATAGTCTGAGCAACACTTGATCAACAACATCTTCTAGTGCATTATCGTAACTAGTAGGATCAATGTCACTCAACAAGAGACAACTTGAGAGTTAACAAGGTTCTCTCCCACTACGAATGTACTGCACTAGACCATGTGTATTTATAAGTAAAACAAAGAGTGGGTCAAATGATGGATCTTCAATTTCTTGAGGATCCGCTTATCCTTGATATTGTTCCTTTACATGTGATACTAATATTTCTACTAGTTTCACTTATATATTATCATGTTGAATTTCCAATCATGGTTCTCTTATTTGTTCACTTAGAGATATATTTGTCCCCTCTTGAACAATCAAGGGAACAGTGGATGAAGCTTCTACAGATTTTGAAAATTCTTGATCTGAGATAAATCTCATCAAGAATAACCTAACCTAAGAGCTTATAATTTCTTATCTAGTCCTCCTTTAAGAAAATCTTGTGAGTGCTCACTTAGATTATCTTGTCCTTAAGACTAAATAAGAAATCATCCATAGTTCTCTTAGGGTAGCCAAAAGATATGCACTCTTCCATACAAGATTCCATCTTATTTGACTGCTGTTGTAGGATGTGTGCCGTAGCACCCTAAATCCGAA